ACCCAGAGCACGGGGCACAGGGCGGCATCCAGGCCGGTTTGGAAGATCTCCAGAGAAGGAGACTCCACAGCCTCCCTGGGCAGCCTGTGCCAGGGCTCTGGCACCCTCTCAGGAAAGAAGTTCCTCCTCACCTGGAGACGGAACTGCCTGGGTTTCAGCTTATGCCCATTTCCCCTTGTCCTGTCGCTGGCCAAAGTCTCTTAACTCATCCTGGAGATTAGTTGCTAGCTTGAAGGAGGTGCTAGCAGAAGATGGACTTGCTAGTTGTGGGGCATATAGCCATTAATATCCATAATACACTGTATTTTTTCTCGTAAGTTTGCATGATTTTTTTTCTTTTTAATCAAAATATTTTAAGATGGTCGCCTGTTCTGAAAGCAGACTGAACACCCCAGTGAGGATTTGCTGAGGTGGAAGGAGGGCCCAAGGCCTTTGAGGGCTCTTCCTGCACAGCAGCCACTGGATCCCCCTCTGCTCCTGTTTTGGTTGCCAGTTTCTTGCATCCCTGAGAGCTAGGGATAAAAATTCCTTTCCTGTGAGTGCCATTTTTGAGTGGAACAAGTTTATGAGTGCTCTTGCTTCAGAAATTCACTTATAAGGATGGGAGTGACAGAAGAGATGGCTGCTTTGTTGTATTTTATAGAAGAACAGTCTGATGTGGCTGTTCCTGGAAGATTCCACATATAATGGCTCTGGATTTGACTGTGATATTTTAGTCATTCAGCGATACTAAGAACAAATCCTGCAGTACTCACTGAACACAGCATTAGAGAAGTTCCCCTCCCATGAGCTTGTGCAACTCACTGAAGTTAAAGGTTAAGGATTAATTCCCAATGGAGAGGTCCATGAGGTCCGTGATCCTCTCTCTTCCCAGAGGTTCCCCGCAGAGAGTCTAAAAGCAAAACACCACAAAGCCACTGCAATATCTCCTTGTTGGCCGCACCATTTTGTCACCTTGGGCTCACACACATCAGAGCCACTTCCTAAATAAGTTGTCCTAAATGTGGTGCGTGGCAGCATCTCTTGCCCTCGTTCTGGCCTAGGACTTCTTGTCCTCTGGGACCAGCAGGGGCTGGTCTAACTGACAGTCCTTCTGGGCTTCAAATGGGCTTCAAATCCTTATGTACTTAAGCGGATCTTCCTGAGAGTTCCACTATCCCAGTTTTGAGTTTGAGCCTTTAGCTTAGCACATGGGATTTGACACAAGGAGTCAATCACCTGTCCGACTGGAGAGGCCAAGAGACACATACAGCTGCTCAGGATAAAAATTCCCTTGCCTCCGTTTCCTGGGGGCTTTGGAGCACTTTGTGGCTCAGCCCCCTTCCCAGTGCTGTGCTGTTCAGGATTTCCACTTGTGGAGGATGGTGCCCCTTGCTTGTCGCCAGAGATCTCTTCGCTTCAGGACCCACGCAGCCGCCTTCACGTCCGTCCCGTTACGCTGACTTCACTCACCTGCCTCGCCGGAGCGGCCGCGTTCCCGCGGCTCCCGCGGCACGGTGCCCGCTGCCCTCCATGCCCTCCAGTCACCAGCAGGCCCTCATGGTGGGAAACAGACAAAATGCTGGAAAACTGAGGAAAAAATATGTTCGTCTGCACACCGGCTAACACGGACGCTTTGTATGAGAAACCTAAATCAACATTTGTCCCTGTCGTGGCACTGTGCCATGTTTTACACTAGCCTGAATGCCCGACCGGCCGAGGGAAGTTGGCTGAGGCTGTGCAGCTGCCACAAGCATGAGCAGGTTTAATAATGTGATTAAATCCTGCTCCTCAGGGATTATACCCTGCGGGTTACACCCATAGGCTGTCCCCGGGATAAACCTGGGATGCGCCATAGGGCTTGTACCGTGCACTGCGGGCACTGCGGGCACTCGGCCTTTTCCACTATCACGCCGTTCACTTACTGCTAAGAATAATTTTCTGTTTTCAGAACAGGTGACTTATTAATGTAAAATACAGACTACTTCTACCACTGATGAACCAATAATGGAATTTGCTTTTTATTTGGATCCTAATAACAACTGTAAACATAAAAAAGTGCAGTGATTACAATGAAATACATTGGTATAACAAAGCTGAATTGTAATTTTCGTATCTGTTCAGATGGGCAAATTTCTACATTAAAAAAAAAAAAAAAAAAA